GGGTCCCTCAACTCCATCACCAGGCTGCAGTGCAGTGGCACAATCCTCGGGCTCACCTGCCAACCATCCACCTCCCGGGTTCCAAGAGATTTTTTCTTGTGCCTCAGCCTCCTGAGGTAAGCTGGGATTACAGGCACGCATCCACCCACGTCCAGCTAATTGTGTATAATTTAGTAGCAGATGGGGTTTTGACATGTTGGCCAGGCTGGTCCCCTGAGCCAGGACACCCATGCAGATGACCTGGGGGAGCTATGATGGGGACCACCACCAGGGAAGCGGAAGGAGGCTGCAATGCACAGAAATGGAGGGTCCTTGGGGTTCACCATTCACAGGACTTGGTGCCTGATGGGAGAGGGAGGGGCAAGGAAAGTGCCCGGGCCTCCAGCTCTGGTGACCAAGTGGATGATGAGAATAGAGACTCAGGAAGAAGAGGCAGATTTGCTAGGGGGTGGGGGCACAACCTTGCTGCCTACTCACAGGCCTCCCTGCTTCCCCAGAGCCCACCGTTCCCCCATTGCCGTGTTATCCACCCAACTGCCTGCATCCCATGGTTCTCTTTCAAAGAGGTTCCGATCCCAGGGAAGGCACGGGGCTAAACTCCAGTCCTGGTTCTGTGATGCTTCACCCGAGACTTTCCATGACATCTGGACTAATTCCTTCACTTCTTGCATCTCAATGTCTTTTTGTTTTTTCCTCATTCTGTCACCCAGGCTGGAGTGCAATGGTGTGATCTTGGCTCACTGCAATCCCCACCTCCTGGGTTCAAGTGATTCTCTTGCCTCAGTCTCCTGAGTAGCTGGGACTAAAGGTGCACACCTCCATGCCCGGTTGATTTTTTTATTTTCAGTAGAGACAGGGTTTTACCCCATTGCTCAGGCTGGCCCAGGCTGGGCATGTTGGCCAGGCTGGTCTCAAACTCCTGACCTCAAGTGATCTGCCCACCTCGGCCTCCAAAGTGCTGTGATGACAGGTGTGAGCCACCGTGCCCGGCCCCTCAGTGTCCCCTTCCATAAAACGACAAGTGTGGGTACATGAATTGTCCTTTATGGCTTAACCATAACAGACCCTCCTTCCTTAGTGCAGTGGATGTTGTGGAAAGTCACTGAGATCCTCAGAGGCTGTGGGAGAAGGAACTGTCAGCTCTCAGCCCCCTTCCTGGGCAGCCCATCGGCAATGGTTGATTGACAAGGGAGTATAAAGGCTTGACCATTTCAGCCCGGCTCCATCTGAGTCTGCTTCCTGAAGACCCAACACATACAACCTGACCGTCTTGGTCCCTGGTGGAGCTGGAGCTGAACTGTGTTCATGAGACATTTCCCCGGCCCCTGCCCTCTCAAGAAGCACCTCCTAGATGCCACATCTTCCACCCCAGGAGACCTTCCGTGAAGCAGCCTGGAGGCTGTCACCGGGACCTTTGCCAAGACCTCAGTCCCAGCCAGCCACGCACCATTAGGGCTTGATGTTAACTGTGCCCCAACTCCATCCAGGGACCTCAAGCTTTCAGGGTCTTTCTTTTGAGACTGGAGCCTGGGGGCTGGCCTCCCCCACAGGCCCCTGACATAAGCGCTTGGACAAAGTGTGTGAGAGCAGAGGGTACGGACGCAGACTGAAGAGTCAGACTGGGCTTGAATCCCAACTCTGCCATGATGGGAACTTAGGCAAGTCAGTCTACCTTTCTGGGCTGTATTTGTTTTTTTTTTTTTTTTATGGATGAAAGGAAGGAGGAAGATGTGAATACGAAATGATATGAAAGAATGGAGGAAGAATGGATGGATAAGGATGGGTGTAATGGATAGATGAGAAGAGGGGTGAGTTGAAGGAAGGAAGGAAGGAAAGAAGGAAGGAAAGGGAGGTGTGATGGTGAGGGAAGGAGAAGGGAAAGGAAAAGGAAAGGAAGGAGGAAGGGAGGAAGGAAAGAAGGAAGGAAGGAGGAAGCGAAGGAAGGAAGAAGGAAAAAAGAAGGAAGTCAGGCGGCAGACTTAAAAACCAATTACAGCCCGGCGCTGGTGGCTACAAGCCCCTGTAATCCCCAGGCACTTATTGGGAGGCCGAGACAGGCGGATCACGACGAGGTCAGGAGATCGAGACCATCCTGGCTTTTAAACAAGGTTTGAAACCCCGTCTCCTACTAAAAATAACAAAAAAACTAGCGGGCCGAGGTGGCGGGGCTGTAGTCACCAGCTACTCGGGAGGTGAGGCCAGGAGATGGCCATAAACCTGGGAGGCCAGAGCTGCAGATGAGCTGAGATCCGGCCACTGTACTCCAGCCTGCGGGGTGACAGAGTGAGACTCCGTCTTCAAAAAAAAAAAAAAAAAAAAAACAAATAAGGCCAGAAAGGTATAGACTGGATCTTCCTAAGTTCCCATCATGCCAGAGGTTGGGATTCAAGCCCGAGTCTGACTCTTCAGTCTGCGTCCCGTCCCTCTGCTTCTCACACCTTTGTTCCAACGCGCTTATTGTCAGGGGGCCTGTGGGGGAGGCCAGCCCCCAGGCTCCCAGTCCTCAAAAGGAAAGACCCTGAAAGGCTTGAGGTCCTGGATTGGAGTTGCGGGCACAGTTAACCATCAAGCCCTAAACTGGTTGCGTGGGCTTGCTGGGACCTGAGGTCTTGGCAAAAGGTTCCCGGTTGACAGCCTCCAGGCTGCTTTTCAAACGGAAGGTCTCCTGGGGTGGAAGATGTGGCATCTAGGAGGTTGCACCCCTTGAAAGAGGCAACGGGGCCCGGGGAAATGTCTCATGAACACAGTTCAGCTCCAGCTCCACCAAGGGACCAAGACGCGTCAGTGTTGTATGATGTTGGGTCTTATTTCAGGAAGCAGACTCCAGAATGGAGCTGGGCTGAAATGGTCAAGCCATTTATACTCCCCTTGTCAATCAAACCCATTGCCGATGGGCTGCCCCAGGAAGGGGGCTGAAGAAGCTGACCAGTTCCTTCTCCCACAGCCTCCTGAGGAATTCTTCAGTGACTTTCCACAACATCCCACCTTGCAC